CCAGCAAATTAAATCGCAAATATTTCAAGGAGCCAAACAAGATTTGCAAATAGGATTTGTAAAATGCTTTAAGAGGGATGCAGGATCCTGTATAAATGTACAAGAGGGAAACAAGACTAAGGTTAAGTATGGAGGGGAAAACAAGATTTGCATAAATATATGAGAGGAAGAGAAAAAAATTGGGAAAAGTAAAGAGAGGGGAACACAGTTTGTATAAATCTATGAGAGGGAAACAAGATTTTGGTACAGTAAAGAGAAGGAAACAAGATCAGAGGAAAAAATATTTGTATAGTGCTAAATGAGGTAAAAAATGATTAGCATAAAGTTATGAAAGAGAAAAATATTGTATAAAGTTATGAGAGTGAAAAAAGATTTCTATCAAACAATGAGAGGGAAAAAAGGTTATTATAATGTTGGAAAAAAAGTTTGTATAAAGTATAGTTTATATTAAGTGAAGAGAAACAATTTGCATATTAAACTATGAGAGGAGAAAAAGATTTTTATAAGGAAAAAATTGTATAAATTTTTGCACTGTTTTCTGTCCAAACATTGTATATTTTGGCAATTTTCCCTATAATCAATGAATGGTTTTGTCCAGATTGAAAGATGGACAAGTCCATTAAAGATATTTAGTGAGGTAAGGGATTTAACTTGTTGACTCATCTGTAGACACGCACCTTTAAAGTGACTCCACTGAGGTTTTTTGACATGATGGGACTGAAAATATTTTTTCCAGATAATTGTACCATTTGATGTAGGTTTAGACCACTAATCTTTATGCAAAATTTCAGATCATTCCGTTTTTCCATGATGGCCCTGAGGTCGCTCACCTGTATATAAGCCCCCGAAGCGGGCCAGTTTAAACCCCAGGGCTTTTATTTGAACAAACTTGGTATTAAGACACCCATTATAAGATGTTTCATGATGTTAAGTTTTTGCTATACACATATAAGGAAAAACAATGACCTTCTTTAACCCAAGGGCTTTTATTTGAACAAACTTGGTAGACACCCATAAGAAGATGTTTCATGCTAAACATCTAAGCTCTAGCTCATTGGGTTTTTTAAAAGAAGATTTTTTAAGTTTTTATTATACACATATAGTTAAAAACAATGACACCCCTGGAGCGGGGCCAGTTTTGACCCAAGAGCTTTTATTTGAACAAACTTTGTAGACACTTATTAGAAGATGTTTTATGCTTAATATCTAACTCTAGCTATTTGGGTTTTTTCATAGAGGTTTTTTAAGTTTTTGCTATACACATATAAGGAAATCAATGACCCCCGGACGGGGCCAATTTTGACCCCAGGGCTTTAATTTGAACAAACTTTGTAGACACTCACTAGAAGATGTTTCATGCTTAATATCTAAACTCTAGCTATTTGGGATTTTTTCAAAGAGGTTTTTTAAGTTTTTGCTATACACATGTAAGGAAAATCAATGACCCCCGGGGCAAGGCCAATTTTGACCCCAGGGCTTTTATTTGAACAAACTTAGTAGACACCCATTAGAACATGATTCATGCTAAATATCTTAGCTCTAGCTCTTTGAGTTCTTTAAAATAAGATTTTTTAAGTTTTTACTATATGCATAAAGGGAAAATCAATGACCCCCCTGGGGCGGGGCCAATTTTGACCCCAGGGCTTTTATTTGAACAAACTTGGTAGACACTCACTAGAAGATGTTTCATGCCAAATATCTTAGCTCTAGCTCTTTGGGTTTTTTAAAAGAAGATTTTTTAAGTTTTTACTATATTTTGTTTGTTTGTTTGTTTTGGGTTTTACGTCACATCGACACAGTATATTTAAAGTTTTTTCTTTCGGTTGCCATGGCAACCAGAGTTCTGCATGGAATTAAATTCTTTGAACAATTTTTAAAGGTGACCACCAAAGGAACATTCCTGTGAAGTTTGGATGAAATTGGCTTAGTGGTTTATGAGATGTCATTTGAAGCAAAAGTTTACGGACGCCGGACGAAAAGCGATCACAAAAGCTCACCCTGTCACTTTGTGACAGGTGAGCTAAAAACTGACCCAAACTGAAAAGCGTTTAAACGCTTTTCACTCAAATTAGGCTAAGAAAAGCATAAAAATACGATTTTCAATTTATTTCGAAGTATATTGCATATATTACTGTTTAAAGTACCCCAGCTCATTTATGTAAGAAATTCAAATGTTATGTTTTTAGAATTTTAAATCTCAGTGGAGTCCCTTTAACAGTGTTATCTTCTGTTAAATACACAATCTTGTTTTCTGGAAAGCTCTCTACGTAAGATTATTTAAAGCCTCTGAGATAACGTGAAAACAACTTCAACTTTAAAATTGTAACGTTTATGTCCCTCACATGCCATTCCATCACATTAGTTTGATTTTATTTGAAAATTTAATTGCATTTAATTCTAAGGAAGTCTTAAAAGATGCTCTTCTTTTTTCCAGATTACTTCTAAACGCAAAACTTTAATTACCCTAGTTGTAAACAATGTATAATTTAAGACATTTTACAGAGACTAGAAATTTAAGGAGAAAATTACAACTTTCCTTTATTAGCTAAATTTAAATGTCAATTTTGTTAACATCAAAGATTTCAGAGTCATGTGCTGTATTTCTTAAGAGACCAAAAATGGAAATATTCTGTGCTTTATAAAGGAAATTATTAATATCAGACTGTCTACCATTTCAATGGAAATTAACAATTATATTTGATTTCCTAATTTTATAAAAAAACTGAAAATGAGTTATTTTACATATGTCATTGAATTAATCTAAAAAAATATTTTTCAATTTAGGGAAAGTCATTAATATTGAAATTAAAAGAACGGGGAAAGAAAAAATAGAAAGGAATTAAGAAAATAAATATAAGAATGTCTATAAATAAAACACAAAACAATTATTCTTGATTAAACTGCTTAATATGGATTGTGGTCCATGAAACATACATGTACTAATATACCAAGTATCCATATACTGTAAATTCACTCAATTTCGAGGGCATGCAATTTTGTGGCTTTGTCACAAAGAATATTTTCATGGGTTCTTAAATTAGTGGATTGTTGTTATTTTCCAAAAGATAAAATGTAAATAATGTCATACAAAATAATCTTACAGCAGACAAAATGAAATTTTGTTGGATCTTAAATTTGACGACTGACCTATCCATAAAAACAACGGAAATGAGTCGCCCATGAATAATAATGATTTGGCAGTCAAGGTGCTACTAGCAACAGTATGCTTGTTTGTTTGTCTGGGTCTTTTTTACGCCAATATTTTTGGCATATCTCAGCAGTTGATTCACCTCACCAGCTTTTCTAAATAACTAACAAGTAATTAATTACCAATTGCTCTCCAAGTGACCTACATGATTTCCCAATAAGGGGTGAGAGACAAATGACCATAAGACTTAATGTTCTGAGATCAGGCTCCTAGGTTATAAAACTTTTTTCTGTCTTGAATCGTAGGATTTTCATTGGTCAATATACATTCTGTGCTGGTTTCTGACCAATCATGGAGAAGTTTTGCCTTACCAGAGGATCAAACAAGCGATCCCTGAATTACAAATCTGATTCTTTCCCTTTTGAGCTAAGTGAGCAGAGAAAAATTATGATGGAAGCAGGGATGGAAAAACAAATTAGCGACTAACTGAAAAAGTTCTGAAAGCATAAAAATACTACACTATAGCCTCGATATTTCGCTCTTCGTTATAACGCTAATCTCAGTATAGCGCTCATAGACCTTGGCTCCCCCCCCCCCAAAAAAAACAATTGTTTTTAGGACATTTATGAGCGCCAAAGGTGTGAAAAACATGCCAAAGTTAGCGTTTATCCGGTCTTATGTTGTTTTACCTGTCCATCAGTCAGGCATCAAATTGTTTCCAAAATCTCAAATTCATATCATAACTGTGACATGGGCAACCGGTGGTGAGTATAAATAAACTAAAATTCACACACATATCTTAGACATGTAAACCTGGCTGAATTAAATAACCAACACAAGCCCAAAATCAATTGTAATTTACAGTCCATCTTTAGTTGTGTCCCCTAGTTAATCAAACGCCATTACATTATTGGCTAACTGTTTACACTATATTTATGATTTATGTTTTTCTTTCGAAAGTTTTTTTGTTTCTTTTGAATATAATTAGTATTATTTGTGAATATAATATATGTTTACATCATTGAATTGTTTAAGAAAAAGAAAATGTCAATATTCATTGAACAGTAAGTAAAAATCGTCAGCGTTATATATATATGCGTTGGGTGGGGTAATGCGGTAATTTCGCAATAAGCGTCCTAATGAAAGCCTCGTTAGAACGCGGTGTTGAGACATTGGACCCCACCATGAGCGTTATAATGAGGCTGTAGTGTATTATAGTTATGATCTTATACCTTTATATGAAGAATCTGTGGTGATACCCCTGGAATGACTTCTTTTGTATTAGCACTAAAATACGCAATCTCCTCCCTCATGATGGCGGGTTTAAGTACATAGCCACACCCACCATTCTTATTGAACCAACCATTGTAGAGATCCATCATCAAACCCGGAGTCTGGTAGTTTAAGGCCACTGTATAATTATAGTGTTAACAGTTTAAGTAAAAGAAATGTAAAATGGTCAGATTAAATTATCCAATAATTTCTCTCTGTATATCTTTAGTTTCATTATTGTAAATCTAGTTTCTTGGTAATAACATCCCTAAAACACTACTAATGGACTCACCTAATCACAAATAGGGCAAGTCCATTAAAAAGACTGAAGGACTTTTATTACTTAAATGTGCACTCTTAATTCAGAATAATTTCAGAGAACTATTTTAAAATGTTTATTTATTTTATTTCATTTATATTTAAATTTTAACTATATTTACAAACAAGTAATATATAAAAGTTGTTGAATGACAATGATATAAGGCTTGTCTTTATACAGTAACACATTGTTCCTATAAATAATGGACTATTCAATCTATTTTCACAATTGCATTTGCTGTTATGTTTACAGTTGAGTAACTTTTTTAATTAAAAGCTACAATATTTGCAAGATCAAACTCGTTTGTTTCTTTTTTCTTTCTTACCCATTTGGCATCCACAATTCCACAAATCCTGTGGATTATAATTACTTGAGTCCACGCGCATTCCATTCGGGTAAATTCGAGACAGAAATGTTTTATTATGATTAACATACTCCTCTGGGCACGATATTGCAAGCTTTAGCGCCTGAGACTCACTAAATGAACACAACTGCCAGTATTGCTCTGAAAGCAGACATAAATAAATCTTTTGTAGCATTTATTCCCTTTAGGCTAGAATAACAAAGCAGAAACTATCAAGAAAAGTGATTAATCCCCCTAGACAGAGTTTATATAGGAAAGTGGATGGTCTAAATATACGAAATGCTATTAACAAATGATGCTAGTTAAAGCAGAATGTGTTCCTAGCATTATCCAATCAAAGCGGACATTAACGTTTGACATTCAAGCCCGTGTCATGTGACTCAAGTAATGTCTGAGTGATTTTAAGAGGTTGTGAAAATCCTCAATTGACCTCCATTAAAGAAAATCAGACTACCATCAAGGATTTAAGTTGTGAATATTTTATGTTGTATTTTGTTGAAGGAAAATTATATTCTTCCCTTGCATTGTTTTCTTAATCATATTTCCAATGAAATCTGTAGGAGACTTAAATACTATTTAGACACTGTAACATTTAAATTGTGGCTTTTATGATAATTTAAATTCATCACTAGTTGAATATAAAGATATATAGTGACATTATGCTCATGTTTTCATTGAAAAGTTGAGCAGAATTTACTATATGTTTCAAAAGACTGTTATAATGGTGACTGACCAACAGTTGATATTGGTAAAATGTTTCTTGATAAAATACAAATCTGCCTAAAATATAAAGAGTCTGCACCACTCTTTTTTGATAAGTTTAATGTTCACAATGGTAATTTTCAAAAATTTTCATCTTCTTGATTTCACTTTTGAAATTTCTTAATTCACTTCACGGATACTTCATTAATTAACGGTTAAAAATTTCCAAACCATCTTTGGTACAATCTTCTATCAAATGCTCATTTAAAAGGGAAGAAAGGTAAACATTTTTTTACAAACATAAATCGTAAACAAAAATACTTTATTTTAACATAAATTTTAGAAAGCCTTGTTATTGTAGCTTTGATCTAAAAATACTTACGTTTTTGCGCTGAGACCTGAAAGTCCTCGAATCTTGTAGACATACAATAGTTAACTAAATCAGACAACTCTCTTGCTAACTTATGTTTCTTTAAAGCACCATCCTGAAATGATAAAAAGGAAAGCTCATATAATCACCTTAGTGCAATAAGGTAATAAGTTCTTCTAAATTCAAATGGAGTTAATATGTTATTGAATTAAGGTGACAATATTGTCAAACCTGTGAGCAAAGGCCAGATAAAGGAGAGACCAAATTTGGCCTTTATAGACAAGTGGTCTATACTTGGGGGGGCTTACTATGTTCTATTTGATCAATGAACGACTGTTGAATGGTGGTCTTTATATACAGGATGATCTTTATTCAGAGGTGGTCACATTTACCACAGGTTTTACTGTATCCATGTTTAAATTTATAACATGATGCCTAGGCACTGCATGTCGGCAAAATCCCCTGCTATATTAGCCCAAAATAAAATCCCCTGGCAGTGCCAGGACAGGTGGGAGGTAAAATATTTGACTCATTTTCCTACCTATATCATGGCATCCCTACTCTCAATGCCTAAAAGGGCGGACAGACCCTCATTAAGCATAGAATACACACCACCTATATGATGTAGCACCAAGCCACTACCACTTTTTCTTGGATATTTTTAAAAACAAATATTTCCTGTTAACCTTTTCGTTCTTTTGGATATTTTATTGAAAACAAGAATCAGACGAATTAATTCATTATACATAATTTTTCTTTCAAAGAAGTAGTAATTTGAGGTCATAAAATAAATACAGAATACAGCTCTCGCAATCAATTATTCCATTAAAGACCGTTTATTAGATGGTAATTATTTTTATTGCAATGTCACCACTGTAATTCTAGTATTCCCTTTATATACCGAGAACATGTTGGGTTGCTGTAATAGCTAATGAAACAATTACTGGTGGTCATCTATCAATATGTTCACCCCCCTGCACACAGGAAGTGACATCAGCACATTGTATGTAATAAATCCATTACAGTATTACGCGAGGATTGTGTGACAAACATTAATTGGCAAAACAGTCTGCATGATATTGAGAAATTGCTGCATTGAGAACACTGGCATTCACTACAACAATCAGACTTTATTAATGTTACTTTCATGTCGATTGTTGGCCATTCATTTTTCACCGACCAGGGAAATAAATGAAAAGGTATCATACATATTAATCAAGAGATCAATTCTGTACAATAAAATGTTCTTTATTAGTTATATTGAGATTACTGTTATATATAAAAAAACAACCTTCACATGGCAAATATCATGGTGTTTCTATCCTGACATATGAAGTAAATGTACAGCTCAGCTTATAACTTTAATAAAAACAACATCTATGCTATTCTTTGAAGGCTGGGATTGCAAATATACCAACTTCATCAAGTTGGGGTAACAAACATTTTTTCATTAATCTAACTTTCTCAGTATGGCTTTATCAAAAGTTTACACTTTACAAATAAACAAATGACAGGCAGAGGGATCCACAATGGAACAAGCATTTGATAGTATTGCGGGCAATACAGTAGTCCCCTACCGGTCCCTCAAAAAGTTCTTTAATTGTCATACACTCCTGTGTATTGCCATTTATAATGAATTTGAGGATGAAGTCTGTATTTGAAAATATCGACCACAAAACATAATAAAATAAGTTTGTCTATATCACAGTAATGCGTTAAGTTTCCATGCTTAGTAAGGAAATTATGTTTATACAACCTTGTCATATTATTATGATGTGGGATTTTAAAGTAAATCCTATAAGGAATGAAGAAGTTGGAGTGAAAATACCAGTTTCTCGAAAAAAATCTAAGTTCAAGGGGGACATAATTCTGGAAATAGTCTTGTTAGAGTATTTAACCTTCTCAAAAATGTTGAGTGATAATAAGAAACATATATATGAAGTTTGAAGTAGATACATTAGGAAATAAAGAAGTTATTTAAAAAAGACAACATTTTTTCCCCTAAAAAATCTAAGTTCAAGGGAGGTAATACTGATATTTTTTGTCCTAGAGTTATAAACCTTGTCACATATGATGTGGTTGATGACCAGAAACTTATATTTAAAGTTTGAAGTAAACACCTTAAGAAATAAAGAACATATAGTGAAAAAGCTGAAAAATTTAAATCAGAAATCTTGAAATTCAGGCTATTTGTTGCCATAGCAACCAGAATTTTCAATATAGGAAGAAAAGAAAAAGATGTGCATAATCTCCAGACTGCCATCTACCCATATTTCAAGTTTCATAAAAATATTTTCAGTACTTTTTGAGTTATCACTGGATCCAGTTTATGTGTTAAATTTGCCATATTTTCAGACTATTTGTTGCCATAGCAACCAGAATTTTCAACATAGGAAGAAAAAAAAAAGACGTGCATAATCTCCATACTGCCATCTATCCATATATCAAGTTTCATAAAAATATTTTCAGTACTTTTTGCGTTATCGCGGGATCCAGTTTTGTGGACGGACCGACTGACGGACTGACAGACAGACGGACAGACAGACAGACGGACGGAGGGTAAACCTAAAGTCCCCTCTGGTTAAACCGGTAGGGGACTAAAAAGGCTTGAGTAATGTTGTCAAAAATGATTAGTCTATGTTACCAGTATAGAGCCAGGCCAGCCTTAACATCCATGCAGTCTAACCAGGCTTTATACTGTTGGTAGCTCAACTTTTGTACTTTTCTATTGGAACCCTTACACTTTAAATGAACTGTTCCAAATTCAAAACAGGGAAAATCCATTACAACCAAGGGTGACAATGTTACAAAAGCTTAAGGTGCAAATGTGGGCGATAAGAACTGTAGCAATCAAGTTTGTCCCTATACAAATTTTCCTATTTTTTTCTGAACTTTTACCCCTATGTGTTTGACCTTGACCTTGTCTTTATGAAAGTTTTCTTACCTTTTTGTTGTTTTTCTTCTTCTCTGATTCTGCCCCTTCATCTTCATCTGTAACTTCACCTTCATCTGTTATATATGCTGGCAACTTCTTACCCTGTTATATATTAAAAAACATTTATTTACAATTAATGATGCTTTTATATAATTTGACCTCGTGACTATGTTCCATTTTTACTGGAAATGACAAAACATTAACCACAATGACTTGGTTTGCAATATTAAACCAACTTTAGATTTGGACTAAATATCTGAAATTGTTAAAAAAAAATAATGACTAAGTGTGACCTTTACCTGAGGAAGGTCAACCCTGCACACTGCACATCATCTTATTATGGTTAACATTTCTGTCAAGTTGTTTTAATTTTCTTCTTCCAGTTCATTTATAGACCATACACAATAACTGCTTGCAGACAAATGGGGGACGGGCGAAAAGGTGTGTAACATTATACACCTATATCTTTTTGGGCATATCATCATAAAACTTATAGTGGTGTTGATGCACTGTGTCCATGTACCCATCTCTAGTTTTGTATAACAATAAATTCATTACTCTGGCAAAACTTCCATTCAGATATTGATAAAATCTATGAACTCTATAAAATTAACAAAATGTTCAAAAGATGTAAATATTCTGACTTAATTTGCTAAATTTTGGCTGAATTTGTGATTTTTACAGAGTACATCAAGGTTTCCCTAGTATTTGACCTAATAACCTTATTTTTACTATTTGATCTGATGACCTTTTTTTACTACATAAAATGATCATCTTTATGTTAAATCTGTAATATAAAACATACTTGTGAAGTCTCAAAAATTTAAGATGACAGAACTTGTCTTCTGATAAAATAAATTTTTCCCATGATCTTGCTCTGTGACACAGTATCAACACCGACAGATACTAACCGATGTTTTGACAATGCAAAAATCATGGCCTTATTATGAGAGCATACTCCTATACTCTAAATGCTTGACAGTAGGAAAAGGGGCATAACTCTGTAACAAGAGGGCCATGATGGCCCTGAGGTCGCTCACCTGTATACAGGCCCCCCCCCCACCCCCGGGCCAATTTTTACCCAAGGGCTTTTATTTGTTAATTTGAACAGACTTGGTAGTCACCCATAAGAAGATGTTTCATGCTAAACATCTAAGTTCTAGCTCATTGGGTTTTTTAAAAGAAGATTTTTAAAGTTTTACTATACACATATAGTTGGCACCCCTGGGGCAGGGCCAGTTTTGATCCCCGGGCTTTTATTTGAACAAACTTTGTAGATATTTACTTAAAGATGTTTCATGCTAAACATCTAAGTTCATGCTTAATATCTAAACTCTAGCTATTTGGGTTTTTTCAAAGAAGATTTTGATTTTTAAGTTTTTGCTTTACACATATAAGGAAAATCAATGACCCCCCCCCCCCCCCGCGGGGCCAGTTTTGACCCCAGGGCTTTTATTTGAACATACTTGGTAGACACCCATTAGAACATGTTTCATGCTAAATATCTTAGCTCTAGCTTATTGAGTTCTTTAAAAGAAGATTTTTTAAGTTTTTACTATATGCATATAGGGAAAATCTATGACCCCCTGGGGCGGGGCCAATTTTGACCCCAGGGCTTTTATTTGAACAAACTTGGTAGACACTAATTAGAAGATGTTTCATGCTAAATATCTTAGCTCTAGCTCTTTGGGTTCTTTAAAAGAAGATTTTTTAAGTTTTTACTATATGCATATAGGGAAAATCTATGACCCCCTTGGGCGGGGTCAATTTTGACCCCAGGGCTTTTATTTGAACAAACTTGGTAGACATTCACTAGAAGATGTTTCATGCCAAATATCTAAGCTCTAGCTCTTATGGTTCTTTAAAGAAGATTTTTTAAGTTTTTACTATATGCATATAGGGAAAATCAATGACCCCCCCGAGGCAGGGCCAATTTTGACCCCAAGGGCTTTAATTTGAACAAACTTTGTAGACACTCACTAGAAGATGTTTCATGCTTAATATCTTAGCTCTAGCTCTTTGGGTTCTTTAAAAGAAGATTTTTTAAGTTTTTACTATATGCATATAGGGAAAATCAATGACCCCCTGGGGCGGGGCCAATTTTGACCCCAGGGCTTTTATTTGAACAAACTTGGTAGACATTCACTAGAAGATGTTTCATGCTTAATATCTAAGCTCTAGCTCTTACGGTTCTTTAAAAGAAGATTTTTAAGTTTTTACTATATGCATATAGGGAAATCAATGACCCCCCGGGGCGGGGCCAATTTTGACCCCAGGGCTTTTATTTGAACAAACTTGGTAGACACTCACTAGAAGATGTTTCATGCAAAATATCTAAGCTCTAGCTCTTAGGGTTGTTTAAAAGAAGATATTTAAAGATTTTTCTTTCGGTTGCCATGGCAACCAGAGTTCTGCATGGAATTAAATTCTTTGAACAATTTTTAAAGGTGACCATCAAAGGAACATTCCTGTGAAGTTTGGATGAAATTGGCTCAGTGGTTTATGAGGAGATGTCATTTAAAGTAAAAGTTTACGGACGGACGCCAGACGGACGGACGCCGGACGGACGCCGGACGAAAAGCGATCACAAAAGCTCACCCTGTCACTTTGTGACAGGTGAGCTAAAAAGGTAACTCAAGAGGTATGGGACCTGCAACCATTATGTTAGATAACTGAGAACAAGTGAGTGAATTAAGTTTCAACTCATTCCTTACAGTTTTTGGAAATACCAACCTGCACGCAAGTTTTTCATTATATGTACAGACATTCAGCGTGCGACTGTTTCACAATAACATCTTTAATAAAATGCCATTTCTGTGTTTTATGTCATTTGATTAAATTAGGAATTGGTATATAAAGTTTCTTTATTCTGTTAACAGTCTGATATGATCCAACCATCATTGCACATGCCATTTACAAAATATATGTAGCGCCACACGATGTCTGGCGTAACTTATTTCAGAACCGTTTCCATCATAAAAGCACAAGGAAATATCTTCAACAGACTTCATTAATTGCTCATCAATCAAGTCTACGATGGCTACAGACAACTAAATATTGCAATTTTTAAGTAATTTGTCTAACAAATGTCTAACAAATTTGTCACATCCTCCCTCTTATTACAGGCATAGACTGTGTCTCAAACATTACACAATATTGAGTGTTCCCTTGATGCAATAAATATACCAGTCTACTTACTGTAAACCAAGATCAGACTGATTTTTTTCCCCCAAACAATATCAATTTTTTCAGGATTGCCTACTATTGTGACCCATAACAGAGTAAAGTTCTATTTTTAAAAGCTTAAAATATCTATAAGTTTTAACAGCATCAGCATATGAACAAAATAATGTTAAAATGTAAAGTGAACTTTTAAAGGGGCTTTGACAATCTCAGTGTCTCATATTAGATCAGTCCCTTTACAACACTAAACCATCTGGAACTGTCAAAGTAATTAGCCATTCGCCACATTAGTATTATAAGAGCCAGGCAAGTCTAAAATCTGTGCAATCTGACCAGGCTCTATACTTTTGGTAGCTCAATTTTTGTATTTTGATAATGAAATCCACTGTAGACTGTTCCGAATTTAAAGAATGACAAATCCATTACATAACTTAAGCAGTTTAAGGTTTAAAAGGGTAGACTTATAGTCAGAAATGTAATGGAAGAAAAGAAAATGACATTGACATGTAGTTGAACATTCATACTAAATCTCTAAACTTAATGCAGGGGCAGTAATCTGAAACCAAATCATAATACATTAAGTATATAAGTGAAAAATGCTGCATACTGATTAATATAAGTAGCTTAAAACCTTAACATTTTAACCTTCTGGAACTGAAATTGATTAGCCTTTGCCACCAGTATAGAGCCAGGTCAGCCTGCATTTCCTTGTAGTCTGACCAGGGTCTCTATACTGTTGGCTGACAATAATTAGCTTCAAATATCCTAAAATTTGTGGTGAAAAGTTCTGAAAATGTAAGCTTGAATAATCCATTTTAGAAATTCAGCAGGTTAAGAAAGATTTAATTGAGTCATTAAGTGTGCTGACATTTTTTCAGACGGACAGGTACTATTATTATAACCTTGAAACTGGCCTTCAGCTTTTCTAAAGGTTAAATAATGTTATTTTTAGATAAATCGCTTCTTAGAATTGTCAAATCAAAAGAAATAATGGTGGAAAATGAAATTTACCATCAATAAAATACATAAACAATAAGGAAGCCCCTCGATACATCTAATCTACAAGTCTGCGCAATATAATAAAGCAAACAATTTGTTTCCCGTTCTTCTATTTTTAGAAAAGAAACAGTAAAAGAAACTCTCAGGACATTGTTTTGAAAAAAGCTTAGGTTATATAACTGAAATACACTTTTCCTAGGTAATATTACTGAAATACACTTTACCTAGGTAATATAACTGAAATACACTTTACCTAGGTAATATTACTGAAATAAACTTTTCCTAGGTAATATTACTGAAATACACTTTTCCTAGGTAATATTACTAAAAAAACTTATCTGAAACATCACAGATTTGTTTTTCCAACAAAGAAATAAAAACTGAAGGCCACTTTAACTGAACACACAAGTGGCAGATAACGAAAATCCTTCAAATTAAGTCATCACAAACAAGTCTTTGTTTACAGTATGATAGATAACAAATCAATATCCATAAATAAATTACTAATCTTTCCAAATCATCTCCTAGATATAAAACCATCATAAATAGACCAGATATAGGGATAATTTGTCTGCAACCCTGTCATAATATTTCAGTATCAAATCTTGAGATAATAAGTTCAAAATCTTCAACCCGTTCATGTCTTTATTGATTACCAGCTTGCAGCTTTCATAGAACAGAACTGTTCACAAATCACCAAGATAAAAACAGAATTATTGATAGCAACTAATTAAAAGAGACATTTACCCTTATATACTTCCAGATAAATCGTGTCAGAGAAGAATTTAAACTAAAACTCATTGTTACAACGAGCTTGATTTATACCACTAAAAAAAATCTATCATTCACATCAAAATAGCTTAAAGGAACTCCACTGAGGTGCAAAAGCCTAAAACTTAAAATTTGAATTTCTTATATAGATCAGCTGGGACCTTAAAACAGAAAGATATGCAAAAGATAATTGAGACAAAACCTCAGAAATAAATTGGAAATTGTGTTTTTGTACCATTTCTAAACCTGATTTGATTGAAAAGCGTCGCATAGCTTTTCAATTTTGGGTCAGTTTTCACAATTAGAATAATTATTCTTGAACAACGGTGTCAACGAATGACCTGAAATTTTGCACACTAGTTACTGACCTAGACTGTCATCAAATGGAACATTAATCTTAAAAATTTATTTTCTGTCCTGTCATATGAACAAGAGGGCCATGATGGCCCTGAGGTCGCTCACCTGTATATAGGCCCCCCACCCCCCCAACGTTGCAGGGCCAATTTAACCCAAGGGCTTTTATTTGCACAAACTTGGTAGACACCCATAAGAAGATGTTTCATGCTAAACATCTAAGCTCTAGCTCATTGGGCTTTTTAAAAGAAGATTTTTTTTAAGTTTTTACTATACACATATAGTTAAAAACAATGACACCCCTGGGGCCGGGCCAGTTTTGACCCCAGGGCTTTTATTTGAACAAACTTTGTAGACACTTACTAGAAGATGTTTCATGCTTAATATCTAAACTCTAGCTATTTGGGTTTTTTCAAAGAAGATTTAAAGTTTTTGCTAAACACATATAAAGAAAATCAATGACCCCCGGGGCGGGGCCAATTTTGACCCCAGGTCTTTTATTTGAACAAACTTTGTAGACACTCACTAAAAGATGTTTCATGCTTAATATCTTAACTCTAGCTATTTGGGTTTTTTCAAAGAAGATTTTTTAAGTTTTTGCTATACACATATAAGGAAAATCAATGACCCCCCGGGGCAGTGCCAATTTTGACCCCAGGGCTTTTATTTGAACAAACTTGGTAGACACCTATTAGAACATGTTTGATGCTCAATATCTTAGCCATAGCTCTTTGAGTTCTTTAAAAGAAGATTTTTTAAGTTTTTACTATATGCATATAGGGAAAATCAATGACCCCCCGGGGCGGGGCCAATTTTGACCCCAGGGCTTTTATTTGAACAAACTTGGTAGACACCCATTAGAACATGTTTCATGCTAAATATCTTAGCTCTAGCTCTTTGGGTTCTTTAAAAGAAGATATTTTAAGTTTTTACTATATGCATATAGGGAAAATCAATGACCCCCGGTGCAGGGCCAATTTTGACCCCAGGGCTTTTATTTGAACAAACTTGGTAGACACTCACTAGAAGATGTTTCATGCCAAATATCTAAGCTCTAGCTCTTTCAGTTCTTTAAAAGAAGATTTTTTAAGTTTTTACTATATGCATATAAAGAAAATCAATGACACCCCGGGGCGGGGCCAATTTTGACCCCAGGGCTATAATTTGAACAAACTTGATAGACACTCTCTAGAAGATGTTTCATGCCAAATATCTAAGCTCTAGCTCTTTGAGTTCTTTAAAAGAAGATTTTTTAAGTTTTTACTATATGCATATAGGGAAAATCAATGACCCCCCGGGGCAGGGCCAATTTTCACCCCAGGGCTTTTATTTGAACAAACTTGGTAGACACCCATTAGAACATGTTTCATGCTAAATATCTTAGCTCTAGCTCTTTGGGTTCTTTAACAGAAGATTTTTTAAGTTTTTACTATATGCATATAGGGAAAATCAATGACCCCCCAGGGCGGGGCCAATTTTGACCCCAGGGCTTTTATTTGAACAAAATTGGTAAACACTCACTAGAAGATGTTTCATGCCAAATATCTAAGCTCTAGCTCTTATGGTTTTTTAAAAGAAGATATTTAAAGTTTTTTCTTTCGGTTGCCATGGCAACCAGAGTTCTGCATGGAATTAAATTCTTTGAACAATTTTTAAAGGTGACCACCAAAGGAACATTCCTGTGAAGTTTGGATGAAATTGGCTTAGTGGTTTATGAGGAGATGTCATTTAAAGTAAAAGTTTACGGACGGACGGACGACGGACGGACGACGGACGGACGACGGACGGACGGACGGACGGACGCCGGACGAAAAGCGATCACAAAAGCTCACCCTGTCACTTTGTGACAGGTGAGCTAAAAAACCTCAGTGGAGTCCCTTTAATCCTTAGCATACTGTATTTATATAATGGTCCAGACTGCTAGAACTAAATGGTGCATAGGAAATCACTGCTTAATGCTAAAAACCTTACTTACAATAGCAGTATATTTTGTTCTACTACTGGAACATTTGATTCTGTTTTTATGTACAATATTCATGTTAGACTTTCTATGCAAAATTCCTTAAATGATCTGACCATAAGGTTGTGGTGACATAATGATTTTACAGTTTATAAATTTTACAAAAAAATATTTCATTAACCCTTTCGCTGCCAGAGGGTTATTGTTTTATTGTTTACCTATTTGCCAGAGGATTTTCTAAGAAATTACTATATTATTAATTAATATAATTATTATTATTTGTTATTAGTATTATAATAATTATATATGTTTCCAATTCTGTTAGTATAATAATAATTATTGTCGATGATATAATTTTCTTTATATTTATTATTATTTTTATAATTATTATTATTAAATTATTATTATTACTATTATTATTATAGAAACGGCTAAAGCCGTCCATATGGCAAATACGCCGAAAATAACACGGACGGCTTAAGCCGTCCCTATGGAAGTGAAAGGGTTAAACACTGCATTATACACTTAACACTGTCTCTATAATCTTTTACCTAAGTTAGAATACTAATGAAAAAGTTTAAGAGGTTAAAATGCTAAAAACAAGCAAACGAAAATACTTTTGCCAGTTTCATTAATGCTTGACACTGGACTTAACATTTTCTAGTTTTTCTAAGTCAGGTACAGTATTTCTACCATTTCAAGCATAGAAATAGTTTCCAGCATGTGTCACAGGTTAAGAAAATGTGCCGCCTGACTGGGACTTGAGCCCGGGATACTCTGAATATCATAGTGCTGTTGCTCTACCAATTAAGCTATCGGGCTGCTTACAAACTTTCTCCATTAATTAGTGAACAGTTCAATACGTGACACATGTACATTAAGTAACCTTGGAAATTAAATTTTCCTTATCAGTGTAAGAAGCTCAATTAATGACAGTGTCAAAGGTAAATCAATGATCTTCCACTAAGTCTTCTATTATTCCATCAGTGCTTTTGTAAAGATAGTCAACTATTTAATAAAGCTTAGCTTAATGGACTTTTGTTATTTTAATTACAGTATACATTGTTGTGTTATCTAGTAAAAAAATCTTATCCTCTCATCAGCTTGCGACGAAATCAAAGGTCAATCAGTACATTCTACTTTGTAAAAGGCAGACTATCCACAAACGAAATAGCAAAAAATCTGACAGAACTAAAAAATCTATGACAAAACTGAAGTATCAAATGTCAAAACATGTAAGGTAATCTAAGGTAATGTAAAAGTACCTTAATTAAAATTTTTCCCTTGAGATCCTCGGGACTAGGAAGTCGTACTCGTTTCTCATCGATAGTTCCGCAGTAAAGTTTATCACCAAATATGGCGGTCATGTGATCTACCATTACACGCTGCTGCTTCAGACTACAGTGGTTCTCGATGGATAATATCACAGGGTATCTACAATATAGAAATATAAATACTACATATTTACTTAGGCTTTGTTTTTGTATATAAGAAACTGGATCATCTATTATGGTTTTCCATAGATAATATCATTTGGTATCAACAAAAAAAGAAAACTAGGTATGTATCCATAGACCATGGATGCCTCCACATTCCACTGTTTTGTCAGTCAGACACAGGGACAGCATGATATTGGGACGGACGTGTAACTGAATTGGGATAAAGGGTCATTTCTATTGTTATTTTTTTGTTTAATAGACGGCCAATGGCCTCTTTCTTCATTGTTAGTGAATGAACTCTACTGTTCTCTTTTGTTCTGTTTCTTAATCTTAACTAGAACTATCACTAAATGTGATTAATACCCCCACAAGTCTGCTTCGGAAATGAGGATGTTACTAGTAACAGAATACCTTGTAATAGAATTGAAACATAGAGTTATGGTTGTGGGCAATTAAAGATAATTGTGGTTCATGTATGTTGCATTTCCTTTCAATGTGGTTGGCCATTGATGAAGTTTAATTGAATTACTCTGTAATAAGTCCAGAAAGACAAAGAAAAAGAACAAAGGGCAATAACTCTATAAATACTGAAGATAGAGTTATAGTTCTTGTGCACTGCACTTCCTCTTATTGTGCTTGACCATTGTATGAAGTTGTTTTGAATTCCAACCAGTACGTTTTAAGTTATGCTCCGGACAAGGAAAAGTATCAAAGGGCAGTAACTCTGTACTTTGTCAAAATGGAGTTATGGCTCTTGTGCACTGCACTTCCTTTTAATGTCCTTGACAACTGTATGAAGTTGTACTGAATTCCAAACAGTAGTTTTCAAGTTATGCTCTGGACAAGGAAAAGTAACAAAGGGCAATAACTCTGTAATTAGTCAAGATGGAGTTATGGTTCTTGTGCACTGCACTTCCCCTTATTGTGCTTGACCATTGTATGAAGTTGTCTTGAATTCCAACCAGTAGTTTTCAAGTCATGCTCTGGACAAGGAAAAGTAACAAAGGGCAGTAACTCTGTAATTAGTCAAGATGGAGTTATGGTTCTTATGCACTGCACTTCCTCTCAATGTGCTTGACCATTGTATGAAGTTATAATGAATTCCAACAATAAGTCTTCAAGTTATGGTCCGGACAAAAGAAAGCAATGGAAAAGTAACAAAGGGCAATAACTCTGTAATTAGTCAAGATGGAGTTATGGTTCTTGTGCACTGCACTTCCTCTTATTGTGCTTGGCCATTGTATGAAGTTGTCTTGAATTCCAACCAGTAGTTTTAAAGTCATGCTCTGGACAAGGAAAATTAACAAAGGGCAGTAACTCTGTAATAAGTCAAAATGGAGTTATGGTTCTTGTGCACTGCACTTCCTCTCAATGTGCTGGACCATTGTATGAAGTTATAATGAATTGCAACAATTAGTCTTCATGTTACGGTCCGGACAAAAGAAAGCAATGGAAAAGTACTAAAGGGCAATAACTCTGTAATTACTTTAGATAGAGTTATGGTTCTTATGCACTGCACTTCCTCTCAATGAGCTTGACCATTGTATGTAGTTATATTGAATTCCAACCATTAGTCTTCAAGTTATGGTCCGGACAAAAAAAAGAAGGCAATGGAAAAGCAACAAAGGGCAATAACTCTGTAATTACTTTAGATAGAGTTATGGTTCTTGTGCACTGCACTTCCCCTTATTGTGTTTGACAATTGTATGAAGTTGTTTTGAATTCCAACCAGTAGTTTTCAAGTTATGCCACGGACAAGGAAAAGTAACAAAGGGCAATAACTCTGTAATTAGTCAAGATAGAGTTATGTTTCTTACGCACTGCACTTCCTCTCAATGTGCTTGACCATTGTATGTAGTTATATTGAATTCCAACCATTAGTCTTCAAGTTATGCTCCGGACAAGGAAAATGCAACGGACAAAAAAAAAAGCAATGGAAAAGCAACAAAGGGCAATAACTCTGTAATTACTTTAGATAGAGTTATGGTTCTTGTGCACTGCACTTCCCCTTATTGTGTTTGACAATTGTATGAAGTTGTTTTGAATTCCAACCAGTAGTTTTCAAGTTATGCCCCGGATAAGGAAAAGTAACAAAGGGCAATAACTCTATAATTAGTCAAGATAGAGTTATGGTTCTTGTGCACTGCACTTGCTCTCAATGTGCTTGACCATTGTATGTAGTTATATTGAATTCCAACCATTAGTTTTCAAGTTATGCTCCGGACAAGGAAAATGCAACGGACGTCTGGACCGACCGACCGACCGACCGCCCGACCGACCAACCGACCGACCGACCACCGGGTGACTCCTATATACCCCCCCAAACTTCGTTTTTGGGGGTATAATGAGATGGGCAATTTCTGAAAGTAAGAGGGTATATAAGTACCGATCAGAAAGAGACATGAAAGAAATTACCAAAAGAAGTTAAAGAACCAATAACATGCTGCGAGGGAATCTTACCTAGTTACTGGATTATACATAACACACCGGTTTTAGAGAATAAGTCTAAAAGTGCAATATCTTATTTAACCTACTGATAGAAAACTGGTAGTACTAAACAAGAAAATACACTATAAGCACTTAGGAAATAAACCTTGTTAATGACGTATATATTTGTACATCCTGTTATTTCTTGTAAAACCCAGACATTACGAACTGGATATGAAGAATAAGCTATGACCGCTTTGCACTTAATAAGTAATGTCAATAAATTAAGGTTTGGTTTTGTTTGTTTCGTTTTTAAGCAGATTTTAACAAATTTTTTGGTCATATCTTGGCAGACGGTCCACCTAATCAGCTTTCCTGTGTAGATAATCAGAAATTAATGATTTCTCCCCTATGTGCAACAATAAAAGCTGAAATCAGTGAAATTTAAGTTCAAGAAAATAAAATTCTCACAAAATTAAATGACTATTCGCAAAAAGACATTAAGAGAGTAATTATCCAATAAAGCTTTATATCATACTAATTTACTACTCCAATAACGAGAGCACATACTTCACTAATTACGATATGAAAAACTTACAAGAGATTGCAATGGGGAAAAATTTAATGAAGACGAATAGATCGATTATTTCAGGTAAAAAAATTGATTTTCTATTTAATAGTTTGATATTTCATTACACTAAGTCACAGATTTAATTGAATTTTGTAGCTTATGAAATAATTGTTGAATGTATGGTCTTATTTTGCTGATACAAAATACAAATTTAAAACAAGAATATATTGGTAAACACAAATGCCCCAGCCCAGATTCTTGTCAATAACAAATTTTCAACAAAAATAAAGTTTACCCATTTACTCAGAAATTGGGATAAAAGGCAATTTCTATGTTTAATAGAGGGCCACTGGCTCCGCTCTAATGTTACAGAATGAACTCTATTGTTCTCTTTTGTTTTATGTTTAAATGGCCCACTTACCCTATTTGGTTGTACAGACAGACATCCAGACGGATGATTCAGTTACTAGTTTACTACGTCATATGATTTTTAACAAAATCTTCACAGGAAATCGTCTTCCGACAAAAGCATTCCAATATATATATTTTTTTTAAAAATTACCAAAAGTCCCTCCATGGGCCCCCTTAACAGCATTTTGGCCATCTCCAAATATTCGTGGGGCTTCTCTCTGTATTAACAAAAAATCTAGGTGCTTTTGATAAATTGGCTTTTGTCTCACACTCAAATAAAGTACAGGACTAACATGAGACTTGAAATCATGATCTAATTTTTCATACAGCTCTATGGAAAGGCCCAAACATTAAAGAAGAAAACTTACTGCGATGTATCAAAAGCGTATTTTTCTATTGCTTCTATAACATGACGAAAAGAGATTTTTGACGTCAAAGTATGACCGTGGTAAATAACTGGTTCATCGTTGTTTCCATCCCAACAATCCACTGTAAATACACAAACACAAATAAACAATTTTAAATTATATATTTCATTTACTTTACATTACTATTTTCACCCCGATAGTGTCAAGGTCATATAGAAGGTCATGGCAGAGATTGTTTTCCCTTCATAATAACAAGACTGTTTACAGGTGCCAGGTGCCTTCCCCCCCCCCCCCCCCAAAAAAAAAAAAAAAATTCTTAAAAATCACATATTTTCCAAATAAATTCAATTTAAACAAATTTTTCTTCCCCTTTTACTAAAATACTGTTATTGTAAATTTTCAAAATTTTTCAAAATTTCTAAAAAGCCCCATTACTTCACATATGAAACAAAGCCCTACATGGTGCTAGAATTTATTGACTTTCAACGAGAAAGCTGAATAGATTTCTATATACCAAATTATCTAATAACTCTTTCAGAGCAGTCAAATATAGTTACTAAAGTGTTCAAGTTGAACAGTTCTGTAATTAAAACTCTGTGATCCTTTCCAGTCCACCATTTCTGTCACAAGAATTCAATTGAAAACAGTAGATATTAAATTAAAATAATTAGAAATGTCTGAATAAAAACTGATGCATGATCTATTAAATTAAACATTGAAATGTGACTCCCTTCCTTAAATTCTCCTGTAAATCAAAGAGTTCAAATGTGATGTAATCAACAAGTTATCTCCACAAAAAATCTAAAACCCTATCCTTTCATTTAAACATTTTATTTTCATAGTAAATTTAGTAAACAAGAGGGCCATGATGGCCCTGAGGTTGCTCACCTGTATATAAGCCCCCCGAGCGGGGCCAGTTTTAACCCCAGGGCTTTTATTTGAATAAACTTGGAAGACACCCATTAGAAGATGTTTCATGATGTTAAGTTTTTACTACACACATGTAATGAAAAACAATGACCTCCGCCCCCCCCCCCCTCCCCCCTTTGGCAGGGCCAATTTTAACCCAAGGGCTTTTATTTTAACAAACTTGGTAGACACCGACAAGAAGATGTTTTGTGCTTAACAATCTAACCTATAGCCCATTGGGTTATTTAAAAGAAGATTTTTTAAGTTTTTACTATACACATATAGTTAAAAACAATGACACCTCTGGGGCGGGGCCAGTTTTAACCCCAGGGCTTTTATTTGAACAAACTTTGTAGACACTTACTAGAAGATGTTTCATGTTTAATATCTAAACTATAGCTATTTGGGTTTTTTCAAAGAAGACTTTTAAGTTTTTGCCATACACATATAAGGAAAATCAATGACCCCCCGGGGCGGGGCCAATTTTGACCCCAGGGCTTTTATTTGAACAAACTTTGTAGACACTCACTAGAAGATGTTTCATGCTTAATATCTAAACTCTAGCTATACGGGTTTTTTCAAAGAAGATTTTTTAAGTTTTTGCTATACACACATAAGGAAAATCAATGACCCCCGGGGCAGGGCCAATTTTGACCCAAGGGCTTTTATTTGAACAAACTTCGTAGACACCCATTAGAAGACGTGTAACGGTAACATTAAGCGCGTTTTACGCTATAACGTTTCATGCTAAATATCTTAGCTCTAGCTCTTTGGGTTCTTTAAAAGAAGATTTTTTAAGTTTTTACTATATGCATATAGGGAAAATCAATGACCCCCTGGGGCGGGGCCAATTTTGACCCAAGGGCTTTTATTTAAACAAACTTGGTAGACACTTATTAGAAGATGTTTCATGCTAAATATCTTAGCTCTAGCTCTATGGGTTCTTTAATAGAAGATTTTTTAAAGTTTTTACTATATGCATATAGGGAAAATCAATGACCCCCTGGGGCAGGGCCAATTTTGACCCAAGGGCTTTTATTTGAACAAACTTGATAGACACTCACTAGAAGATGTTTCATGCCAAATATCTAAGCTCTAGCTCTTTGTTTTTTTTTAAAGAAGATATTTAAAGTTTTTTCTTTCGGTTGCCATGGCAACCAGAGTTCTGCATGGAATTAAATTCTTAGAACAATTTCTAAAGGTGACCACCAAAGGAACATTCCTGTGAAGTTTGGATGAAATTGGCTTAGTGGTTAATGAGGAGATGTCATTTAAAGTAAAAGTTTACGGACGGACAACGGACGGACGACAGACGGACGGACGACGGACGGACGCTGGATGAAGAGCGATCACAAACAAGAGCTGTCGGTAGGACAGCAACGCTCGACTATTCTTAGTGCTTGATAGTAAAAAAAATGCCTGATACAGTTACCTCCTCCTGTTTACAGGTTGGGGTCATGATGGTGAACAAGTGTGCAAAGTTTCAAAGCCATATGTCAATAGACTTTGAAAATATTTGAACTATTACAAAAACTTTAACGTAAATTCTAAGTCGAAAAAGGGGCATAATTCTGTCAAAATGCTTGATAGAGTTACCTCCTCCTGTCTACAGGTTGGGGTCATGATGGTGAACAAGTGTGCAAAGTTTCAAAGCCATATGTCAATGGACTTTGAAAATATCTGAACTATTACAAAAACTTTAACGTAAATTCTAAGTCGAAAAAGGGGCATAATTCTGTCAAAATGCTTGATAGAGTTACCTCCTCCTGTTTACAGGTTGGGGTCATGATGGTGAACAAGTGTGCAAAGTTTCAAAGCCATATGTCAATGGACTTTGAAAATATTTGAACTATTACAAAAACTTTAACATAAATTCTAAGTCGAAAAAGGGGCATAATTCTGTCAAAATGCTTGATAGAGTTACCTCCTCCTGTTTCCAGGTTGGGTTCATGATGGTGAACAAGTGTGCAAAGTTTCAAAGCCATATGTCAATGGACTTTGAAAATATTTGAACTATTACAAAAACTTTAACGTAAATTCTAAGTCGAAAAAGAGGCATAATTCTGTCAAAATGCTTGATAGAGTTACCTCCTCCTGTTTACAGGTTGGGGTCATGATGTTGAACAAGTGTGCAAAGTTTCAAAGCCATATGTCAATGGACTTTGAAAATATTTGAACTATTACAAAAACTTTAACATAAGTGGTTACGCCGACGCCGACGCTCGGGTGACTGCAATAGCTCTACTTATTCTTATCGAATAGTCGAGCTAAAAACAAAAAGAGAGTAAATAATTCAGTGTTGTTTCCAACTACCAGTAGATATTTCAGCAATATTGTTTTGGAAAAGTGCATCATACCACTCTTAAGCCTTCTTCAAAACAATGTCCAGAGAACCTTTATCAAGCTGAAGGTCGCTTTAATTTTTTTTTTATGTACAGTGTTTAAATTTGTTTCTTAGCTTACTGGAACAGGAACTAAATCCATTGAATCAATACATGCAACCAGTGCAAGCCATGTATAACATCAGATCTGATCATGGTCTGCACTGTTCCCTATTCACTCAATTCATGTTTTGAAATTTTCATTAGCAATGATAATATAAAGTTATTATATATTGTTGAGTTCAATGCTTAATTCTATTGGACAAGTACACAACTGTAAAAATCTATATTGGACAAGACGCTAGCCAATCACCTGTGTACAAGTCCAATAGCAACAGTATAATTCTCATATCAACAATGTGAAATGACCTCTTTATTACACATTTTTGATGTTTTTACAGAACTTTGTTGGTTTAAACTGCATATCAGTTCCTTTGGTTGCTTTATAATTGTCAATAATAATGTGATTTGTAAGCATTTATGCAGCTTCATGATAAATTGATAAAAGGGGGTAATTTTAACCCCTTGATATGTTAGAGATAAATAAATTATAACAGACAGACAGTAAGATAATAATATTACTATAGATTTTTCTATGAAAATAGATTTATTTCTATGAACATGTTAACGTTCAAAGAACAAGTAATTTCATGTTTTGTATATTTTGTATTGTTGTAAGTAACAAATTCATTTAACCTCGAGAGCTACTGCCAGCATGATTATTCCCAACAATATTTCATGTTGAATTATGGTTCACCTTGATATAACACAATGATGGGAATTATATTATAGCTAATACTTACACTCTACACACCGACATCCTGTCCTTAAAACCCTGATGTATGCATCAACACTTGATGGACCTTTCAGTTGATCTTCTAATAAATAACTGTAAAAATAAACAATAATAGTACAATCTACATGTGCCATCTAGAGATCATCATTACATAAGGCAATTTTGCTTGTTTTACTGATTGAATAAAAACTAAAATGCCCTTCTGTGTATTACTTCAAAAACCAGCTGGCACCAGAGAAGAGTCCCGATTAGTAGCCTTAAAGAATAGCTTCCTCTATTGTAAATATTTAAAGTCCCTCAGGTGTTTCAAGCTCACAGAAGTGAACAGCCACTGATTCAAAGTCACTGACTCCTTGGCCCTTGATGATCACTTGGTAGTTTGGTTGGTTTTTATGCCAATTTTCACACATCAGCAAAAAAACATACATGTATCTTGATGTTTGGTCAACTAACCAGTTTTCCTGGATAACTAACCAGTAATAACCAATTTCTCCGCATTTGATGGAACACTAATTGGTTATGTAACGTTATGTAACTTACGTATTATGTGAGCTTGCTATAAATAACTTACGTATTATGTGAGCTTGCTATAAATAACTTGCATATTATGTGAGCTTGCTATAAATAACTTGCATATTATGTGAGCTTGCTATAAATAACTTGCATATTATGTGAGCTTTCTATAAATAACTTACGTATTATGTGAGCTTTGCTATAAATAACTTACGTATTATGTGAGCTTGCTATAAAGTAATGACAAAGAGGTTGTTTCATATCTTGACAGACTGTATTATGGTCAGGATCAAATATATCACATTCATCTGACAACAGGTAATCTGTAAATCCTGAAAATATACAAAACATAAGGTAATTGGTACCAATGGTACCATGTAACTGTGTGTATGATTGAATTTTGAGTCACATTCACTCAGACACTGTGTTAAGGTGAAATGGCAACTTTCAAGTTTAACTGGTGAAAGAAGACCTAAGGTGTTCCTCAATTCATTATATTTGGCATGAACAGGCATTAGAGTAGATCTTCCAACATTTCTTATGCTAGATGTTTATTTTATTTTTTTAATCACAGGATTTGAACCAATGTTAGTGAGGGACAAGGTTCATAGTCAGTGACCTTTATCATTTGGCCATGGGGACCCCATTTATCTTATTACCACATGATTGTTTACTTATAAAAAACTAAAACAGTGGACAAGCAGGTAATTAATATACATATTATATAAGGTCATACATTATATTGTGATTTCTTGGAAAAATTAAATACTAAATTCCTATTATGTAAATAAGTTAAACAAGATTCTAATATGGACCTAGGATTAAACCTGATGACCTGAACAACAAATTTGGTAAATCATCTTTTGTCTAATAGGAAACATGCAAACAAATGCTTAATTGCAATAAAATTATTGACTTTCAAAAAAAAAAAAATAAATAAATAGAGGATATTTGTATAGTTCAGTGTAAGAACGGAATATATTTCACCGAGTGAGCACCAAAAGGTATATTTCACAAGTGGCGCAGCCACGAGTGAAATATGAACTTTTGGTGTTCACAAGGTGAAATATATTTCGATCTTACACTAAACTAAACAAATTTTCTTTTTATTATATGCAAAGAAACGTTTTAAAAAGACATTAAACCTAATACTGAATGAAAAGCGCGCCAAATGATAATACAACGTGACGTCATTTACGACGTCACGTCATTAAGTTGGTACCCAGTTCTGTGCACGCTGGTATTTCACTGAAACAACGTAAGGGGCTTAAATTCAAAACAGTGAAATTATCAAAATGGTAATTTCACTGTTTTAAACAGTGAAATTACCAGTTTTTATATCACTGATATATTTCTATAAACCACCGAAAAGCACGTAATAAACAGGAATACTCAATAGTTGTTTAAAAAAATCTATTAAGAATCATGTAATTTTCAATTCTAAAAAAAAAAAGAAAATATTTATTCTTACAAAAAAAAGAAGACAAAATGTTCCTGAAAAACAAACACTAATGGCTTGCTAAGATAAGTTTCTTTAATCTCTGCACGATTCATATAAATTGAAAATGTCTGTCAATCCTCCCTTTAATGTCTCCATTTCTGGGAGAAAACATTCCAGATTACATACTTCAAAAAATATAAAACATATCAAGAGCACCATTTAAAGCTGAAATTCTAGTATCTTTATACAGATTCCTGCAATTTATTGAACAGATACATTTAAAACATTTGAAATCCCTGATCTAATGTAATGAGTATTTTGCATTTTAGGAGGACTTTTTTTTCCCTCTCTTAAAGCTGAGCTCAGGACGAAAGTCTGTTCTGATAAAATTGTATATAGATATGATCGGTTAATGTTGAGATATAAAGAATATCTGAACGAGACATCTGGTGAGCTCGAGGAAACTCGACAAACATAGAAATATGGTCACATCATCAGCCCCTGACCCTGGCTATGTGGTTAATGCCATTGACCTGAAACCACTTGCTCCCTTCACCGCTGTGGGTTCAAATCCCATTCGGGACACTTGTGAACAGACAAGATGAGTGAACGACAAGGGCAAAACAATTTTCATTATAATAGTGGGGAAATAATACCACTCGGTTAAAGTCATAGACATAAAAAAAATACCATCTATGCCTAATCTTCCTTTTCGTTTGCCTTCTTTGGTGGGTTCAAATTTGTTGATCACTTCTAAACACTTTTCTTTAGTAACTCTTTGCATCTGAAAAAATAAAATAAGAAACATTTGATGAAATTTATACATCACTGTTTAAAGTGAATCGGTCCATAATGGAACATGTGCAATACCATAAATAATTATGCTGACTCAGTATTTAGAATCATATGTGACAAGAAACCACAGAAGAATTATAAATTGAGTTGCATCATGACAAAACCAACATACCGGTGGGTTTGTGACCAGCATGGACCCAGACCAGCCTGCGCAACCACGCGGATGCACAGGCTGGTCTGGATCCATGCTGTTCGCAAACCCATTATGTTGGTTTTGTCATGGCGCGGCTCAATTATATAGGGATGTTGTTGCTAAGTGTGAGATACATGATCCGATATTATATATCTATATATAGCAGATTATAACTTGTTCTAGAACAAACTATTATTATTCAACAGTATATAATTATATAAATGCATTGGGGACTCGATCAAATTTTTTCTTTTTCACAATAATTTTTTAAAGAATATCCAAATGATACAATTCTATTGTTTCATTTAGTATTTTAAAACTTATGGAAAATGTGTCCATTGCAAGCCAATCCAGTCTTTAACAATTTCTTAAAATATCATGATTTACAATCTAGGTCATTTTTATTTACTTCAATAAGTTTGACTGCTTTGCTATTAAAGCATGTTTTAAGTCTGATCAGCACCATGCAATCAGATCAATATCGCCATTTTCCAGCTCTTTTATAATGCTAGTTCAGGACCCTGAATATTCTGAATATTATGCTACAAAGGACTTAATATGTGGTAAAAAAACTTATGCTTTTCTCAAGATTTTCAAATTACAAAAGTAAGTGATTTTATGTCAGAGATATAATTTATTATTTGCCTCTCAGCCTTGGAGGCTTAAACCACTTGGTCTCTATAAGGCCCAAATTAATCAAAGAATTAAACTATGAAAACAGACAAATATGCAATTTATATAAAAAACATAATGCAATGAAGCATCCTTGGTAACCAATGTCATTTATCATCACCATTAAATGATATGTATACCATGGCTGTCTTTTTATCATTTTCCTAAAGTAAGTCGCTTCATAACCATCTTGCAGCAACAGAACCTACCCATGTGGCCAGTGCAGACCATGATCGGCCTGTCCATAAATCGGCACATTTCTGCTGTGTTATCATGGTCTACACTTTTTCACTTATTTTGAAATTTTCCCAGCTAATAATGATTAAAAGATAGACAAGTCCATTTAAGATATTTAGAGTGGTCAGGGTTAAGAGTGTAACAGAAGGTTTTACGTTTTTTGTTTTTTTTTATAATTTTATCAATTGATAAGATATTAATGGCTATATTAAGCATCAGTAAATGGGTCAAGTACTATAGATAAAGAGAAAAATAAAAATTAGCAATTTACATTAAAGTCATTGCATCTTATTTTTCCCATAAAATTTGACTTTGAAGTTTTTTGTTTTTTTCTTTTAAAACACTTTATATTGTGACCCCTACGAAAATGTGATAGACCTAGATTTTAAATCGGAAATAGATTTTCCTACAAATTTGTCAAAAAATGTAATTTTCTTTTGACAATTTATGTGATAGACCCAGGTTTTAAATCAGAAAATTTTCCTACAAAATCATAAAAAAAAAGAAAAAAAAAAGTATTTTTCTTTTGACAATTTTTTTGTTTATGAAAAGCATCAAATAAATGAAATAGGAATATATCAATAGCACATTGGATTAGAATGAAGAGAAAGGACTTAGTACATAAGACAAGAGCACCATTTATGTAGTGTTAATGCTCATATGTACAGGGCAATTGCTATCACTATAATTTTATTAGAACTTGAATTTTTGACTCTGTTTAAAAAGGGGCATAACTTATAAAAATATGATCTTCAGAGTAATGCCCCTTGTCTTACAACTGCACTTTTCAAGCAAGTATTCTGATACCTATTAAAATGTTTAAATAATGGGGCTACATTAAAGTTTCTGCACTAAGACAACAAAAAGTTACTAGAATTATTATTGGCACAGCCATCATAATATTTTTTTTAATATTTTTAATTATTTTATTTTTTTTTTAAGAGACAGGCTAAAAAATAAACAATTACAATAATGCCATTCATTTCCTAAGTCACAAACAGACAAACCATTAAAATTTGATTTCCAAGTAAATAAGACAAAAATTTCAGAAGTTACAATTACAGAAATAACATACGGTGGTTTTGGTCTCGTCTGAAACATTTTCATTTTACACTCGGTGACTGAATTCTTTATTATAGGGTGTTTTACACGCTCCCAATCTAAATAATTCGAAATGAAATCAGGCACGAGACACGCTATACAATGAAGCACGAGATGACTTAATATTTTGCTTAAAAAGCAAACTCAAATATGTCCTATTCAAGTCCCTGACAGCATTTGTTTGGAGTGTTGACTGCTGTAAAGTAATTTTATCCCGAGAAAATTGCATTAATAACCTAAAAATAGACACCATAAAGTATCTTGCACATCTGGGAATTATTCATAATATTGAAAATACTTTTTTTCACAAGAGAATGTCTATGTAGAATAGAAAATCATAAAGCTATATTTCTGGTATATTAGGTGCATTTATCACAGTTAGATTCAATCTTCATGATAGAAGTTTTTTACTGGTAATTGACAACATTCTGGAGACTTTTCAAATGATACAATGCAGTGGTATGATATAATTTAATATCAGCAAATATTTTTAGGTTTTTTTTACAAAGTTTCCTGCTGGTTTTTTGAGATAGGTTTGTTTAATATGAAAATAATGATATTTGAACTTTTTGGTGTTAACTGAACAGAAGATAATTATACTGTCTCAGTCAAACATTCTGTCAGCCATATGTTATGAACGTTACCCGAAGCACAGCCCAAAATTTGCGAGGCATGTCAGATGGTCATGACACTAGCAGGAAGCCTATTCTAATGACGTCATACATTAATATAGCCATCACTGAAATGAGCAGTCAAAGAATTTTGTCTGATCTTTGATAATTTTACATGATTTTCAACATATTCTTACAATAATAGAAAAAAATTAAATAGGATTAACCTATTACTGTCCTAACGTGGTGATATACAGTAATATCAAAATTTGTCTTGTCATGAAATTGCATGTACAGCAGCAAAAACATTTGAGCCGCATCACGACAAAACCAACATAATGATTTTGAGACCAGCCTGCGCATAACTGTTCGCTATCAGTTTCTCTATTTGTTATAGGGTTGGTAAGCGAACAGCATGGATCCTGATCAGACTGCGCAGATGCAAACCCACTATGTTGGTTTTGTTGTGACGTGGCTCATTTTATATACATGTATTTGCCATGTTCCTTATTTATTATAAAGCACACAAAACATCTGGGAAATCAACAGCACCTTCAACTTTTTGCAGCACTTGGTAGTAAAACAAGGTCAATGGATAAATTTTGTATAAAGGGTTATTTATAATTCCCATAAAAATCCTGACTTGGGTTGCATGTCTAAAGTCAAATACCTACAATTATGTTTCTTAAGATATGTGTGATTGAAGCTCCAAGCAAATTACTTAATTTGTGGTTAAAAAAGTTGCCTTCAAAACCTTAGCAAAATGCTGAACCTACAACATCGTCAGTTACCCACGGTATATATTTCGTACAATAACTACATTGTCTATAATAATATATAGACAACGTAGTATATAATGATATACAGATATTGTACTATGTACGGAATATATACCGTGGATAACCAACGATGTACCTACAATGACATGTTAAGAGTAGCCCTTAGATCATTCTTAAGAAATTTCTAAAACCCAGGCTAAAATTGAATTACCAGTTATATGTCATTTGAAAAGAAATATAATTCTGAGTCAACGACAATGCCTGACAGACATTTGACACATGAGCAATTAGTAAGAGGAAAGAGAAAAAATTAGCAACAATTTACAGAAATAAGGAGAAGTAATGGCATATATTTAAAGAGAGAATTTAAGTATATAATAAGGTGTTGCAGACAGTAGGGCAAAATATTCACCATATTATTATGTAATATTGACAAGTTTGAGTAGATAATTCTAGCCACATATAGAACCTTATACAGCAGAAGTTTAACCCTTACCATACTAAATATCTGTGGCGGACTTGTCCATTTTCAAACTGGACAAAACCATTTAAATTTAATTGATCGTCATTTTTTGGGGGGAAATTCAATATAATAATGTATGTTAGTGGGAAATTCAATATAATTATGTATTTTAGTGGGAAATTCAATATAAATGTGTATTTTAGGGTGAAATTCAATAAAATTATGTATTTTAGGGGGGATTTCAATATAATTATGCATTTTAGGGAGAAATTCAATATAATTATGTCTTTTCGGGGGGAATTCAATATAATTATGTATTTTAGGGGGAAATTCAATATAATTATGTATTTTAGGGGGGAATTCAATATAATTATGTATTTTAGGGCAAAATTCAATAAAATTATGTATTTTAGGGGGGAATTCAATATAATTATGTATTTTAGGGGGAAGTTAAATATAATTATGTATTTTAGGGGGAATTCAATATAATTATGTATTTTAGGGCAAAATTCAATAAAATTATGTATTTTAGGGGGAAATTCAATATAATTATGTATTTTAGGGGGAAAATCAATATAATTATGTATTTTAGGGGGAAATTCAATATAAATATGTATTTTAGGGGCAAATTCAATATAATTATGTATTTTAGGGGGAAATTAAATATAATTATGTAGTGAACAATGCAGACCATGATTAGACTGCACTGATGAGCCTGCAGGTCTATACTGGTCTGCACAGGTTGCATGGCAGAATCTCATTCTGCCATCAGGCTATGGGTTATTAAGTGGTTCTTGTTAATATCTATCTTTTTTCACTGATACACATTACTTCTAGCCATGTAGAATTCCAAATTAAATTTTTATTTTTTCAGACTAACTTTTATTTTCTTGAAAAGCTGTTTAAACCAAATGACATTGTATAAACACTTTTGTTCATTTTTTTGCAGTTCGTTTAACAGAATGTCAAACGCATAACCAACAATTTAACTTGAATGAATAATGAAAATTTATATTCTTAATAGTGATTTTGTGCTGTTTAAATGAACACCACTGAGAAACCTAAAAACATAAAATTTGAACTTTTTAAATAAATCAGATGGGGAAATTAAAATAGTAAGATATGCAAAAGATGATTAAGAAATATACCCAGAAATAAATTGTAAATTGTATTTTTATGCTATATTTGTGCTGATTTTAAATTTTGGGTGATTTTTCACAATTAGAATAATTTTTCTGGTAAAACAAAGTGAAGGAATTATTTGAAATTCTGCACACAAGTTAGTGGTCTAGACTGACATCATATAGAACATTAATTAATCTAAAAAAAATGATTTCCAGTCCTGTCATGTCTAAACCTCAGTGGAGATACAAATCCAATCTTTCAATATGGACAAAACCATTCATCATTTTTAGAGAAGAAGTTCAAAATAAGTACTAACTGAATAGGGAACAGTGTAGACCATTATTTATCATATGGTACGGATGACCAAGCTGATCTTGGTCTGCACTGGTCACATAGGTAAAATCAGTTGCTGCCATTTTTACACTAGTGACAGTACATGAAATTATCTCATTAACTTTAACAATTGGAAATAGAAAAGATTGCAACCAAAATCAATATCTCCACTTTAAAAACCAAATTGTTTCTCTGACAAGCAATTTCGAAAATTTGCATCTTAAATATTTTTTACTGCCAATTACATTTGTTGTTGTTTTTTCAATGTTCTTAATTTGTTTGACAACCTTGAGTAAAGCCATAGAAAGAGCGCAATTGAACTTTTAAATAGAAGACCATCTAGATTTGTGTAACAAACTTGTCTACCGTAGGTTTAGAATAAGAACCACCTGTTGTAATGAAGGAGTTTTAATATTAACAGAATAGAATCTGGTCAAATTGCCGATGTACAGACTGGCCTAAAATTGGTAACTTTGGTATGATGTTATCACTTCTAGAATCAGGAAAATGGGTGTTCCCCTTTAAACCCTCAATAAACCATGCAAGAATTACTTAAAATGGACATGTCCGCCTTTTATTTCTGGACTGGGCATAATTAGTTTTGGGATATCAATGACGTGTAGAGCCTAGTTAGACTGCAGACACATTCAAGCTTTTTGCTGACTTTTGTGCATATAAATGTCACAAATACAAGTTGCAAATCTACAGAAATTTCGTCTATAAAAGCTCTGTAAGTCTTACCCCTTGTTCTGCTTCTAAAAATAGTAACAAATCATCTGTTGATAAGTAATCAGCATTGCTTGCATATCTGTAAAATAAATCAAAACCTATATTGTAGATAAGACATAACATAACAGTTCTTTGACAAGGCACTTCTCCCTGTATCTGTATTTTAAGTTTCAATCAATTCTTCGAAAAGTAGCTATAGCAGCAATGTTCTTACAACAAGAGGGCCATCATGGCCCTACATTGCTCACCTGAATTCTATCCCTAGAAAAGGTAATATTTTTTTTAATGAATGCAGAAATACCATAGATTATTGGGTCACAATGCAATGGGCCATTTATAGGCCCCTAACACAATGGTTCATGCCAAATGTTTAATCTTTAAGACATAAATTTTTCAAAGAAGAATTTTTTTTATGTGTTTTCCTGTTTAAGATTTAGCTCTATAGATGGACAAATTGATTGATTAACCATAAGGTGACTCCAATATACGACCTTTCAACTCCTTTTGATGGGGGGCAATATAATTATTATATAAATTCATTAAAGTGTTCAAAACTCATAAAAGTTATTCCACAAAATAATTTTCAATCTCTTTCAAGTTATTCCACAGTGATGACTGTAAAAAGTGTTTGTAAAGATTTTACTATTAGCAAAATTCAATGATAACATGCACACAACAAGTACAAAACATACCTGACTAGTAAGAAATAAATTTCTGGTCTGGTGGACATTTCTTTGAACAGTGATATAAACTCACTACTGTTGAGACGGCCCCTTTTGCTATCATCTCTGTTAAGTTCAATTTCCTGGAAAATACAAGGACAATCTAACATGAAATCTCCACTAATTCTTGGCGATGACCCCTTTAGCAATCCTATAAAGACAATTTATGTACTTATATTCCTGAGATTGCCCCATCTGGGGTTTTACTTCTGAGTTGGCCCCATCTGTTGTTATCATTGATAAGTTCATTTCTCTGGAAAAAAGTTTTAAAAAATTGACAAATAATTAAATGAACCTTTATAATAATTGCACTTTAAATTCAAAATTGTCTCATTTTCTATAGTTCATTGTAACATAACGTTAATATACATTGTTTTTTAGCTTTGACTTTTTTTTTTGCCTTTAACAAAGACGAGTGTTCTTTAAATTTGGAGTCATTATCATGAATCATCTAAGGTTCCAGCATTACCTTTAGAATGAGAGAGCTAACTTACTACAATCTACTGGCCAATGAAAATTGGAAGCTAATTTAGGAAATGAAAGTTCTCACAAAATTGCTGAATGGACACAAGCTGCTATGATTTGCTTGGTCAACTTTTGACCGTTAAAGCAATAAGGGTTTTCCATTTAATAGAAGCAATCATATGCTGATACTTGACAAGTGCATATCAATGGGTCCTCCAGTAACATGAATGGAAATTAAACCTGCCAATTGACAGAATAACCAATACACGTGTGAGAATGCCAATGTAAGAAGAAATGATGGCCAACCTGTATTATTGAAGACGAGAAAATCAAAATATGAGCCGCGCCATGACAAAACCAACAAAATGGGTTTGCCACCAGCATGGATCCAGACCAGCCTGTGCATCCGCGCAGTCTGATCAGGATCCATGCTGTTCGCTATCAGTTTCTCTACTTGTAATATGGTTGGTAAGCGAACAGCATGGATCCTGATCAGACTGCGCTGATGCGCAGATGCTGGTCACAAACCCATTATGTTGGTTTTGTCATGACGCGGCTCAATTAATTAAAAGATGACAATTGTGAGTCTAAACATGTAGTATTAAAGCTGCATTCAGCTTTTATTTTTCTGTTGGAAAAAACAATTTTGTGTTGTTTGAAACTAAGTATTTCAGTAATATTATCTGGATTTAAGTGCATCATTATCACTGTTAAGCATTCTTCATAACAGCCTCCCAAGAGCTATATATAGCAGTCAGTGACAATCTTGTCTAAAATAGAGGTCTGCTTTACTAATTTACATAATATAGAGAGCCCTAGAGCCAGCTGATACATTAAAAGTGTCAAGGAGTTGCCTTATTGTTTTTGGACTTTATCTATGGGACATTTCATTTTCCACCTTAATACTTTTGATGTGACGATTATGGAAATGATCTTTCTAAAAATAAAACATTCAACCTTTAGAAAAGGGAAAGAACTCAATAAATGTGGATTTTTCCAATCTCATCTGGTTCTACCATATACAACCAGTGATCAACATGTTGCACTAAACTACAAAAACTTTGTACCACTGATATTAGCTGGGAAAACACCAAATCTACATAATTCTTGGGTATAACTATTGTTTTGAACACTTTAAATTCTAAGGTCAGTTATTTATACCAATTTGTTTATAAATTCAGTTTCAACAGCATTGGTAAATAATTTAGCAATGGCTGCCACATTTGGCAAAGGGATGTAAATATTGTGAAAATCAGGCACTATCTTTTTGTATCATTACAGCACCAGCTGGAGAACAGAGTTAGTAGATCCAACAAGCTCAATTCTAAGCTCTCACAAATAAATTGTAACGCACATAAACATTATAGTGGATTTAGTAGTATTTAGAAGTTCTCGGTTAAAATTTTTCATACTTAAAACACAGGTGTTTGTATGAGTACTAAATACATAATAATGAAAATAAAAACCAATCGAAATAATTTTGTGAGATTACGAGCTTCAATATAAATTCTTCTGGAAGTTCATTATCACAAACATAACTAACAGTAGTCCAAATTAATGTCTTTAAAATTAAACTCTATCTAAAAAGGCAAAAGAATTATTGTGCCCAGAGACATTTTTGTATATATATAAATATAGAATCACTCTGGTGAGTGAAACTCATTATCCTCTCCTCCCGGGGTATTTTATCTTTCTGTAACTGACAGAATTAATCTCTGATAAAACAAAACTGTTTATACCATCACAGTATTAAGAGAATTCAGTTAAAAACATTATGAAATAAAGTGTCTTTACTCTTTCGTAGATTAGTTTTTCTCTTACATTAACTTCATATCCTGTTTATTGGTCTCACAAAACTCATGTGAATCAAATTTTATTCGATCATTGTCATTAATACACTCAAGTTTTATACATAATCTTTTTCTAGTTCAATTCAGAAGGAAGGATAGGCTATAAGCTTATAGACACACTCCCAAATCCATTCCTGGAACTAACTCTTAATTAGCAATGAGTTTTAAGTTGGTTGGTCAAGGCCCCTCAGATGGGGTTTGTACCCATGCTGCCAGTAATGATCCATAGATTACTAGTCCAATGTGTGAACCACTCCGCCACATCCCCATGTAAACTGTTGAACAAACACTTAATGGATTTATAGATAATACATACAGGTTTCACTTTTTTCCCAGCTCAGCAAAATGTTTCCTCTCATATTTTTAGGGTTTTTTTTAAAGATGTTTAATTGAATTTACATGTTAAGACAGCATGTGATTTTCTTTTACCTTTTTCCCTAGGCACCAAACACAAAAACAATGAACAAAATAACAATTCTGGGGATTATGCACTCATAATCTTCAAGTAAAAAAAATATTATATTAAAAATATATAAATATGCAAACTAGGCATGTAATCTTATGCTATGTCATTTCATTGATACTATTTCTGTATTAACAGTTCAACTAGGTTATATATAACCACTAGGTTATACATAACCACAGCAGGTGCATTTAAATTTTCTTAAACTTGGTATCACAGGCTTTGAGGATTTGTTTTTTTTATGACACAATTGTCTGGCACAGTTTTCATAATTTGCAGATATCTCAGAATACAGTTTGATATCAATTCCTTTTTAGCACTTATTTTGTAATATAAATGAAATAAAAACAATTAATAGCTCTATTAGCATAAAGTACTTGTGAAATATCAGGAACTTAGATTTTTGTCAGGATTGGACTTTAAATATTTTTCTGGAGATTTGTGTAATTATTGATGTACGTAGGTCAGGTTCAATAACTTGTGTGCAAATCTTATTTTCATATCATTTTCATTATGCAAAATGATCCAAAATTCAAATCAGGCTAAGAACAGCACAAAGAATCTATATTCAATTTAATTCTGAATATAATTATTCTCTTTACTATCCTTTGCTGTTTTTTCCGTTTTAATGTGCTTCACTAAATTTGTGTAAAAATTTCAATATTTCATGTTTTTAGGCTTTTTGACCTTAGAAAATTGCTCATAAATCCTGCAATTTAATGAGCAAAATAGAGTTATAACAAGTAATAAAGATAGAATGGCATTGCTTTATAAGCAAGAATAAGACAGTTATAATTATATTCTAGGATTATTTGGCATTTAAAGGGACTCCACTGAGGATTTTTTAAATGATGGGACTGAAAATATATTTTTTTCCAGATAAATGTACCATTTGATGTAGGTTTAGACAACTAATCTTTGTGCAAAATTTCGGATCATTCGCGCACTTTGTTTTTCCAGAATAATTATTCAAATTGTAAAACAAAGGCACCACTAGGCGGAGCATTATATGCCCGAAAGTGTTTTTTTTTAGTAAGGATGAAGCATTTGTAAGACATGGGAATTGAATAAAGTATTACCTCCTTCAAAAAGCAATCCTCCTTTATAGTTATGCTCCAGAAACTGTTTTCAGTTTTAAGGTAATAGTGACCTTGGCCTTTGACCTTGTGACCCCAAAATCAATAGGGGAGTTCTACCCAATATGGACAATCATCCTATGAAGTTTGAACACTGTGGGCCAAATGAAACTTAAGTTATGCTCCCAGAACTGTTTTCAGTTTAAATTGATCTTTGACCTTGTGACCCCAAAATCAATAGGGGTTTTCTACCCAATATGGAATATGGACAATAATCCTATGAAGTTTGAATACTGTGGGCCAAATGGAACTTAAGTTATGCTCCCGAAACTGTTTTCAGTTTTAAAGCAATAGTGACCTTGACCTTTGACCTTGTGATCCCAAAATCAATAGGGGTCTTCTACCCAATATGGACAATCATCCTATGAAGTTTGAAGACTGTAGTCCAAATGGAAACCAAATTGCTAACGGATGGACGGAGGGACACAGAACTATCAAAACATTTTCATCAACTATCTACATATTAACTGTTCTACAATTATAGTATTTCCAAATGATTTTTCAAGAACATTTCTTATCAGTATACATCAGAAAAATATTATCTTGAATATTGATGTACTTTGAATGAAAAATCTGCTTTACATAATTGTTCTGAGATAACTCTTGAAAATGATAAAAATACACTCACTCATACTGCATTAAAGACCACCTGTTACAAAGAAATATTTTAACCAAAAGGTTCACCAAAAAGGTAATTTAAGTAACACATACTGACCACCATTGCCAAGAGGGTCATGACAATAAAGCTCCATTTTTTTGTCGAAAAGTGGAGGTAATGACTAGCCAACAAGGTCATAAAAATTTAAAGGTTGCAGTTGGGTTTGTCAGTAAAGGATTGCACAGTACTGTTGCTGTTTCTTTTATTTTCACTACATTATGAATCTGGTTCATGAAAATATTTCCCTAAAGTACAATATAGACGCCTGGCTACATTAATGTTTCATAACCTGAATTTGTCCTATATAATATTTAAGTGCTTCTTAATTTATTTAACAATAAATTTTAACATTAATATTCTATGAAAGGAATTGTAAGATATAATCTCAGGCATCTGCCATCATTATATTCCTACAATAATTATTTTTTAAGGTTTTTATATAATTATAAAAGCTCACAAGAAAATCTCAGATGATTTATCACTTCTTATATAATCACTTTATATAATCTCT